AGATGATAATAAGTAAATTTTCAATCAAATACGCAGTATATTCATCTACCGGGACGGACCAAGTCACAATCCCCAACGGTGCTCTACCCCACGCTCGCTACCCGGCGTGCAAGTCACCTCAGTATAGCACTACGATGTGCAAACACGGGGTTTCAAACCCTCAGAACAGCATTTACATCTATTACTCACCTCAAGCCGGCCAAAATTCTAGCTTGCTATGCCCTTGCCTTTCGACTAGACCTCCTCGTGCACCGAATCTGATCAAAACCACAACGAATATGTCACATTATGCCAATGGAACAATTCCCAATTGAAAATAATCGAAAAATAGCTAAGATCTCGAAATTAGCAAAAACCCGAGCCCCGGGCCCGCTTCTCAAAAATCAGAAAATTTATCATCAACGGGTTCCTTATCTCGCCACGAGTCTATACATATAAAGAACACCAAAATCGGAGTCCAAATGACCCCTCAAGTCCCCATTTTAACTCTCTTAAGTTTCAAGCCCTAATCACCATTTTTGACCCTTGATTCCTTAATTTTTCAGTCTTAATTCATGTATTTGCACCATAAAATCGTGCTTTAGACTCAGAAATCCTTACCTCAATGAAGTCCCTTGATTTCTCTCTTCCAACTCGCCCAAATTCTCCAAGTCCGAAGTGAAAATTATGAAACCCCTTTGAAATTTCGCGAAGAAGACCAATTAAATATTCTGTCCAGTCTTTCTCGCTTCTGCGGTCCCATTTCCGCTTATGCGGGACCGCTTCTGCGGTAGATCCATCCGCTTCTGCGGACATCCACTTAAAGCACCCGGTCGCTTTTGCGGCTCCGAATTCCGCACCAGCGGAACCGCTCCTGCGGTCCACCCTTCCGCTTCTGCGGAAACTGCCTCAAGACCCAAAATTGCTTCTGCGGCTTCCTCCTCCGCTTCTACGAAACTGCACCTGCGGTCCCATAACCGCAGGTGCGAAAATACCAGATACCAGCAGAAGCCTGCAATTCACCAAGGCTCAAAACTCCCCGATAGCCATCCGAAATCATCCCGAGGCCCCCGGGACCTCAACCAAAAATACAAACATGATCCAACACCTTATTCAAACTTGCTCGAATCATCAAAACACCACAAATAACACCTAAACCATCCAATTGCATCAAATTCAAGCCTAAGTTCATCCAAATCTTCCGAAACTTGCATTCGATCAAAAACCCAACCAAAACACCTCCGAATCAACTGAAATTTTGCACACACATCCCAAATCACCTAACGAAGCTACTGCAACTCTCGGAATTCCATTCCGACCCTCGGATCAAATTCTTACCTATCAACCGGAATTCGCTAAAATACTAACTTCGCCAATTCAAGCCTAATTCTACACCGGACCTCCAAAATCAATTCCAATCACACTCCTAAGTCACAAATCATCCCCCGAAGCTAACCGAATCATCGGAATTCATATCCGAACCCTCTAACACATAAGTCAACGTCCGGTTGACTTTTCCAAAACAAACCTTCCTTAAAGAGACTAAGTGTCTCATTTCCTACTAAAATCAATCCAAATCAACTCGTTCCCACCCAACACTGATAATGAAGCATAAAGAAGCAGAAAATGAAGGAAACGGGGCGATAACACACGTGACGACGGGTTGGATCGTCACACCTGGACATTGATACGATCCTCATTCCACAGCACTACTAGACCACCTATGAGACCATTAACAGACACCTAGGACATATGTGTAAAATGGAAATCTTCACGTAGCCTTGTATGGTCTTGCATGTGTGTTTCCAGAAAAATAGTTAAAGTTGGCCTATGATTATCCAATATTGACCTAAAGTGTCTACTAAACTCAGGATTGTGTGATCCCCTACAGTTCCAGACTAAGAAATTCATATAAGAATTATGATTGTTGACTGGACCTAGTGAAGTTGGAGACATCGGATTGACAACAGGAATTATTGCATGTTCCAGACTCACTGACTGGGGATTCTAACGAAGCGTCGGAATTATAACCATGGCATATTTCCCTACTTCGTGATTTATTGTTAGACGAAAATTTAGGCTGCATGTTATCAACTCTGGTGGACACTTTATTTCGTACTGTTCTTTTAGGTTGTAAAGTTGTATTCTTTTTAGCCACAAGGATTCCGTCTTTATCTCCCTCATCTCTGTTAGTATTTCTGCTAGTTCTTGCCTTGTTTGGATGTCTAGTTCGTTTGGAGATGGTGGTGGTGTCTATGGTGGGCTGCCCTGTGGTGTTAGGTTTACTAGTGGACTGAATGGACTCGAATAGGGAGACAGTGGATTGAAAGAGTTGAGTGGTTGGAACCAAGGAGCTTACACCTGCCCCATGTGATAAGGAGGGTAGAAAGGCATGAGGTTTACTGATGGACTGGGATAAGGACTCATTTGACTCATGGGATACGACCAATGGTATGGAGTTGAAGTGGATGGTTAATGCTCTAGCATGAGAGGAGTCTGTGTTGTATACCATTGATTCTGAGTGTATGCCTCCATGCCTAATCTCATTCCTTCCGTTACTATTTCTGCCAGGTGAGTGGGATTTTGGACTAGTAGGACAACCTCCTAGTTGTTCTGCTCCATAGTGAAAATCGGGCCATAACCCTGCAGGCCCATCTCCAACCACGATTGGAGTGGTTGATCCATTGTCATCTGTTGAGATGTGTAGATCAATGGAGTTGCAATATGTGGTAGTTGTGGCCCCTGCATGGTTAGCCTTGGGAGATGGAAGAACTGATTGTTGTTGTGGATGTTCTCCCTTAGGTATGTATTTTGATGGTTGGCAGGAAAAGATGGATCTGCATATTGTGAATCTCCAGTAGTATTCTGGGAAGAGGTATTGTTGTTTGAAGGCCATAAGAGTTCTGGTAGTAGTTGAGAACTTAGGTGATCTTTGCTTATTAAGTTTTCACTCGATGCATGAGATGGAGTTGAAGTAAACGACATAGTATTAGAGTTTTAGAATTGTTTGACAGATCTTCACATGAAATGTAATCATGTTGTTCAGAAGGTACTTGAGAAGACCTAGGATCTTTGATATCGTAGGGAACTGTAGCATGCAAACTTCCTTTAGAAATGCTTAGTTGTAGTGTGGAGGTGGCTGACTCGTGTAATTAAGGAACATAAGTATTTGTCATTCAAGGATTGGCCTTGGTTTATGACTGGGCTGCTATGTGTAAAAGAAGGCTGAGGTGTCTGAGTTATATTAGGAAGCGTGTGCAGATTATTTAAGCAATGAAAACTTTGAGATGGTGGGTTAAAAACGTCAAAAGTAAGTTTATTAAATTGTTCATTGGGTAAAAAGGATTGTGGGGCTATACCATGTATTGGTTGGGCAAGAGAGGGAAACAACATCAGTTTGTCTTTTGGAGGGGATATACCTTCCCTATTTGGGCCATATTTTGGTGGGCTTGTACACATTTGGTCATTCTCAGCAGGAGAATGTCCTAAGTCAACTAGTGGGTCAAATTTGTTAGTGAATTATTTATTGGGCCTTGTAAGGACGTGTGTGTTAGAGTAGGTTAGCTGGCCCAAATGTGACCTAGGAAAGTTTGAGGACTCACCTGTAGTAGTTTGCTCCAGAGGCTGCGCCACCAATATACCCACCTTGCTTGTGGCGGTGTTATTGTTCTTAAATGTATAGTTGGCTTTCCGTGCAAAGTTGACTGTTTTCCTTCTCTTTCTTCAGGTTGTTCATAGTTTGGCATCTTATAGGATGCTACAGCCACGTTTAATGTAGTTTGTTCCATTGGCGGATGTGTGACGAAGGAGCAACGTCTTTTTGCATGACCAAATCTTCCACATATAGCAGTGTTTGGCGATGATGTCCTATGTGTATATGCATTTTTAGTGGTTATTCTAAGGGTACCTCGATGCAGATACGTGCATACCTTCGAGGTGCATGTGTCCACCTTTAACAATTGTCCAAGTTTAGAGCCTTTTGTAGTATTTCCAAATCATAAAATTCAGTCGGGAGTTCCGGCAGTCAAACCCATATAGCTGAATAGGTAAGTTGCGTAGATGATACTATAAATTTGGGCTCCCACTTTCGGACTGATAAGAAGTGGTTTAGTATAAACCATGGTCCTCCATGTAGGGCCTTAATCATATTCTCTTCTTTTTGATATTTGATAAGGGAAAAATCAGATCCTAGATGAAAGATAGGAAGATCTTCAGTTGGCTTCCATAGAGCTAGGAGCTTGTTCCTTAGCATATGATGTGCAATCTTCCATCCAAATAATTTTATTATTACTGAATACTTCCAAGGTTCATACAGACGTAATTTATCATTGGAAGTAATTGGAATAAAGGTGTCCTCATCTGTGTTGTTTTGGATGATTTCATCAGAGAGGCCAGTAGTATTAATTGAAGATTGTTGATTACTAAGCGTTGGTGATAGGTATTTGTTTGTTAGAAGGGTTTGTAGAAAAGTTGGTTGTTTTGGAATTGGGCTAGCATCATCTATTTGCATGGAACCTATATGAGGTGTCTGTATTGTTGTGTTCTGTATCTATTTCATGAGTAGGATCATTCATTCTCGGAGGCTATTTAGTTTAGGGAGTTAATATTTGCTAGGATAGATTGTTGTTGTATGGAAAAGAAGAAAGAAGTTTATGACTGGGCAAGAAGAGTAAATGTTAGAGAGAAGCTCTTACATGTTTGCTCCACGCGTAGTCAAGAGTTGTAGTAGTGTTGTAGTATTCAAATTCTGCGGCATTGTCGCTACGTCTATGCATGAGCAGATAAATGAGCGTCATATTTACTTTAATCAAAATATAAAACCATACAATTATTTAAGTTTTTGAATAAGTTACTTTATTAAAAAATGGACTCTAATTTATTATATTTCCAAAAAATCTAATACTAGAGATCCACTCAAGGATTCCATCTTTTTTTTTTTTTTTTTTTTGCTTTAAATAGGAGACCATCCTCTCTATTCTGTTCTATTCTCTAATTTCTCTGCTCTTAATTTAGTGTAAAAAATGGGGAGGATATTTGTGGTGGATCTTGAAGGCAAAACTTACAACTGCAAATTCTGCAAAACCCAACTTGCCCTTGTTAATGATCTTATTTCGAAGGATTTTCTTTTCCTCATGGGAAAAGCATACATGTTAAGAAATATGGTAAATATAACTTTTGGACTTAATGAGGAGAGAATGATACTTTCTGAATTGCACACAGCTACAGATATATTTTGTTGTTGTTGTGGGCAGATTGTTGGCTGGAAATTTATGGCAATCCTAAATGGCAAAAATCACAAGTATAAAGAAGAGAAATTTGTTCTTGAAATAGGAAGGATTGTTGACTCTGAATTTTATATTGATAATACTAGCCAAATATGAGTGATGCATAATCTTGGTTTCCTTTGTATCTCATATATTAAAATGATATTTCTATGGTTGTATCTTGTATTATTACGTAGCAAAAGAACTATTATATCTTTGCTATATTTTCTCTTTTCGTTTTGTCTTGTTGTTGTTATTGCTTTTTTTTCATCTTTTCTTGAGCGGAGGGTTTATCGAAAATAACATCTTTATCTTTTCGAGGTAGATATAAGGTCTGCATGTACACTATTCTCCCCAGACCTCAGTTATGGGATTATACTGAATTTAATATTGTTGTTAGTTGCTATATTTTCTATTAACAGAACTAGATGCAAGCATTGTCATTATCTTTTTCATTTTCATACCAATAGCAGAATAACATATTTAAATAAGTTCAATTTTGCTCTTGAAAGATTGGTTTTTTCCTTCCATCTCTCGGATAGTAACTCTTCGAAGTTTTCACAGAGAGAATGACGTATCTTTTTCAGTCAAGATTATCACACCTCACTAGAATATTTTGATATTATTTGAACTATGCAAATTTTCTTATTACTGTTAATGGCCAATATTAGAGTTTTAAATTTGACTAGACACACAATTGGACCTCAAAAGACTATTGCCTGTCTCTGGAGATTGAAATTAGCACGATAGATAGTTGGTTGAGCTTGTTAGTGGCCAGCTTCTCCTTGTATAAATAGGAGATCTCATATAGTCAGTGGCCTAGCCAGAAATTCCGTCATGAATGTTTAAATTTTAAAACAAAATAATATATTTTTTATCGATGAATGATGTATCAAAACTTTTAGATCAAACTACGCAATATTTAGCTCAAAAAAATACTTTTAATAGAACTTTAATTTTATAAATTAAAATTAAAATAACAAAAAGACAACATTAAAAATTTTACTAATAAAAGTAAGTATAAAACCAAAGGACAGTGAGAGGCTTTGTAGTTTGTAGTGCTTTTGTTGAAGAATTTTTTGTAGAGTTTGACTACTAAATTATAACTTTTTAAGAAATAACTTTTAATTAAAAAATTACTTTTCATATTAGTTGTTATTTTTAAGAAACTTTAAGTTTTAAGACTTATTTTATTAGAAAATTATTAGATTGAAAATGAATCAAATAGATCATACACTGTGGTTTCCGTTTAGTTTTTGAATAACACGTCACTTTGAACATCCTAAATCGGTGGACTGCCTCATTCAACTATGTTAAGGATGTCCAAAATATAATATATATATATATATATATATATATATATAAAAAAGCATATAAAGTATTAATATTTAACTTATATATGCAGTATATATGCCCTTGACTACGCCTGGCATAGGATGGCAACGCCACTGCATACAATGATTAAAATAATCCAATCAATCATACCTTATTATTCAGGGTTTTGCTTGTTTTCTTTATGGCATTCCTTTGTAGCTTTCTCATCTTCTAAGTTTGCCCAATGTTAGTTCTAGTCTGGTCACAATTTTCAGTTACAACAGTTTTTTTGGTAGAGATTTTTACGTTGTAGAGCCATTAGTAAGAAAATATTCATATAAACAATATTACTTTTGTTTTATTTCATATATATAGCACATTCATTTACATATATAGCATATCTCAAAATTAATACGTTACCATCAGTCTTTATGTATTAAAACTGACCCATGATTCAAGGGATGATGTATTAGAGATTAAAAGTCTCCTATATTCCGGTAAATTTCCAAAATTATAGTGATTATTTCTCCACTAATCTCTCCACTATTACAAACCCAAAATCTCACTCTTTTCGTTCTTTCTCTCATCAGCTAAGGCAAAATCTTACCAAAAACTCTTTCTTCTTCCCCTCTTATAGTAAACTGCAAATTTCATGGGAAGAATAAGGATAAACTCATTAAGATTGTTGATTCAATCGCTACAACCTCTGAAATCGATAAGAAGTAGAAGAAGAAAATAATTCACTGAATATTAGGTGTATATAGCAGTTTTCGTTGTATACTAATATATTAATATACATGGTATAATTTTATTGAGTTATAATATTATATATGTCTCGTATGATATTTTCTTTAGACAAATACTATGTATTGTAATTGTAACGACCCGACCGGGCGTTTTGAGCTTTTGCACTTTGATCGCCAGTTCTCGGGCATGACTTGCCCCGTGTTATGTATTATGACTAATGTAGATCGTTGGGTTTGGTTTTCAGGAAAATTTGAAATGAATTTGGAAGAACAGTTTCAGTTGAAAGCCTTGAATTTGAAAGGTTTGACCAAGAGTTGACTTATTTGTATATGAGCTCGGATCGGAGTTTTTATGATTTGGTTAGCTTCGCTAGGTGATTTGTGACTTAGGAGCGTGATCGGAAGTAGTTTTGGAGGTCCGGTGTAGAATTAGGCTTGAATTGGCGAAGTTAGTATTTTGGCGATTTCCAGTTGATAGGTAAGATTTTGATCCGAGGGTCGGAATGGAATTCCGAGAGTTGCTGTAGCTTCGTTATGTCATTTAGGATGTGTGTGTAAAATTTCAGGTCATTTTAACTGGCTAGCTAGGGCCGCTCTCACAAACATAATGGATAACCGGGGCGTACCTCCACCCTTTAGCAACAATTCAGGAGGAAATCACCTCTAATAGGAGTATTTAGCTACGTGTATGCCTGTGCAAATGTGTTCTAACAAGACTCTACCAGCTAGTAAGCATGCAAGGAAGAACGGACCGCTCGTACGATATTACCTCACAACTTCCAAGCGATAAAGCTCATACAGGTAAGCAACCCACAATCACAATATTAAACAAATAAGAATGCCTCCACAGGCCGTCACAATTCTTTACAATCAACCCCTGACATAGCCCACCTTATTACGCCACGTGTGTAATTAATAACATAATAAGCACCGCCTTATTTCGCCACACGTGCATCACAATGTTCCCCCTTATTCCGCCACATGCGCAACCCACATATAAGCATATAACATATCCCGTCTTATTACGCCCCATGTGCAAAACATCAATGACAACAATAGCACGGCAAAGACCTCGTGCAACCCTTCAACAACAACCGCACGGCAGAAACCTCATGCATCACAGTATCAACAACTGCACGGCAGAAACCTCGTGCATCACAATATCAACAACTGCACGGCAGAAACCTCGTGCATCACAATATCAACAACCGCACGGCAGAAACCTCGTGCATCACAATATCAACAACCGCACAGCAGAAACCTCGTGCATCACAATATCAACGACTGACAATATATATACAAGAACAAAGCAAGAGAATCAACTCAAGAGATTCCGTTCACCAAAGGACGGTACCACTAACGTACAAGGGATAAATGTAACAGGGAAATACTAAGCGCAATAAGAACAACTCAACAAGGGAGAGATAATACGAAACAACGATTCCAAAATACTCAGTTCTACAACAAGGAAGTTAACATGAATCAAATAATTACAATTAAGGAAGTATCAACTAAACATAGGATATCTAACTTCTTCCCAATTAAGGCCAATTAATTACACGAGAGATAGAAATAATGCTTTTCAGATAAAGACAAGCAGTTAGGAATGATAATGTGACTACAGAAGGCAAATGTCTACAGTTAAACAAGTAAAAGTCATTTAGGCAACAAGAATAACCAAAATGGCAGATAAATTCCAAGTAAGTCATGTAGAGGTGAATCTAATAACAGGGAACTCAATCGTATCAAGAACAACTTCATATTCGGTGATTACAAGGATCTAAGAGCTTAAAAGGGGCAATTTTTCACAAATAAATCCGAGCACGCACTCATCACCTCGCGTACAAGGAATACAATCAACAAAGAAGACTCAAATCCTAAGGGGAAGTCCCCCACACAAGGTTAGCAAGATACTTACCTCGAACCGGCTAAAATCAACTAGCAACCACGCTCTTGCCACGAGTATCCGACTCCAAATGGCCCAAATCTATTCAATTCAATCACACATTGTAAATAACATCTCAAGCAACTGATTCTACCATTTAATTCAAAGCTACGGCGTGAAATTAGGTGAAATAACCAAAATGCCCTTCAGGCCAACGCCTCGGAATCGAATAATTTTTCACATTTTCAGAACCCTCGTACTCTCACGAGTCTAACCATATAAAAATCTCCTAAATCGGAGGTCAAATGCTCACTCAAAATCCATTAGTTTGGTCTAAGAAGCTTTAACCAAATTCTTCAAATTTTAACCCCAAATTCTAATTTAAATGATGGATTTAACTACAAAATGATGAAATATAACTAGGAGGGATTAAGAAAACGTTACCCAATGATCTTCACTTCAAAACCCACTCAAAATCGCCCTCTCCCGAGCTCTCAATTGATGTTTGTAACTTATGAACCCAAACCCTCGAATTATCTATTTTTGCCCAGGAGTTTCCGCTTCTGCGGACAAGGGACCGCTTCTGCGGTCCCGCTTCTGCGGAAACCAAGCCGCTTCTGCGGATCCTCATTAAAGCCAAGAGTTCCGCTTCTGCGGTCTTAAACCGCACCTGCGGTTTCTGCTTATGCGGATTCATTACCGCTTCTGCGGTTTCAATCAAAATCCCAGGGACCGCATCTGCGACTACTATCTCGCAGGTGCGTAACCGCTTCTGCGGTTAAACTTCCGCACCTGCGGAAACTGAAGGAGCACTCGAATTTCGCTCCTGCGGTGGTCTAGCCGCTTCTGCGGTTCCCAAGCCGCAGAAGCGGAAATACCAGATGACAGAATCCTTCAGCAACTCATTCAACTTCAAAATTTTCCGTCAACCACCCGAAATCATCCCGAGGCCCCCGGGACCTCAACCAAAGGCACCAATACCACCTAATACCTTATTCAAACTTGTACCAATCTTAAAAACACCTAAAACAACACCGGAAACCCGAATTAATCAAAGATTCAAGTCTAAGGACCTCAAATTCCAACCCAACACGCTTTCGATCAAAAACCTACCCGAACCTCGTCCGAATGGCCTAAAATTTTGCACACACATCCCAAATGACATGACGGAA